GGCTGCTGCTGCATGCTCAGAGCCAGAGGCTGCACCAGCCTCTTCCTGGCAGGGGGGGTTTGGGCCCGGGCTGCACTCAGGGCACGAGGGGGTGGTGCTGGGAGGGGGGGGTTGCAGCCACCCCCAAATTCGCTGTAGCCCCCCCCTTAGTCCCCCTCCCAGCACTGCTGCTGCCCACCCCAAGCACAGCCCCCACACAGCGCCTAGGGGCTGCCCCTCTCCCTACCTATCACCCCCCCAAACAAGCCATGGCTCCATTCTGCACCCCATCCCACCCCACCCTGGCTATGCAGCATCTGCCCCTGCCTCAGCCACACTCCCTCCTTCATGGCAGGGGCCTCAAACGTCCCTGCCATGCCCCTCCCCCAAAAAACTTACCACCTGGACGCTGCTCTCCAACTTGCCGGGCTGAACTCCTGGCAGCGTGCATGCAGGCGGCATTTATTGGCAATGGTATTAGCCACATCAGCCAAAAGAAGCCGACTGTCGATAATGTCAATTTTCCTTTCATCAGTGCCAATATGATATGGACCGATATACTGGTGCAACTCTACACAGAACATTTATATATCGAACAACTTTCCTATCTTGCTCTCCTGCATCCATATTTCAGCACTGTAAACACTCCAGAAAACAAATGCTTCTCCCAGTATCAAATGGACATCAAATTAGGATGAGCAGGAATCCTAGTTTTCTCTATTAAAAATCCAAAATTCTCTAGTAAATTAAAGCCAGAATTCTTTGATTAAAAACCCTCAACTCTGTGTTTTTTCCCCATGATTAAAATGAAATACCACTATAACTGCAAATATAGGCATCAGTTGAGCGCACTGGGCATCTAATCTATAACGTGCACTGGGGCAGGAGGGGCACTTTAATTAGAATGGCTCTTGGGAGTTGCTGTAATTAAAATGCTTGCAGCATCTCATGCATTCAGCATCCTGCACTTCAAAATAGTAGCAGGGATGCTTTAACTAAAGCTCAAATGAGCTTTACTTAGAGTATACCCACCACCATTTTAAAATCAAGGACGATGAATATAAGTGGAGGCTGCTGGACTGTTCCTATTAGTTTATTAATTAGATTAATTGAATCAGGTCTGGCACATTCCAAACAGAACACGTTGGAGCAGGTGTCCTACACATGTACAGGCACCCAGTGTTTTACTGATATATTTACATTTTTAAAGCAATCTGGAAGCCTACTAGTACCTCAATCATTATAATAAAATACATTCTAAACACCTAAATATTTTTTTTATCAAGGAAAAATCAGAGCTTCCCCTGCCCCCTTCACTCACCAGGACATGGATCCAGCTGCGGCTGTTCACCCTGCTGCTTTGTGGAACTGAGAAGCCTTGATATGCTGATGCCCCCCACTCCCAAGCCACAGCCCTCCTCAGCCTTACCACAACCCTGCATCCCCATCAGCACCCTTCACTCCCACAACCCTGAATCCCCATCAGCACCCTTCACTCCAAACCCATAGACCCCATCCCACCAGTGCCCTCCACTCCCAAACCAACCCCCACCCCTGCTGGTGCCTTTCACTCCCAACCTACTACCCCCAGTATATGTAGAGCTAGGGTAGGGAGGCCAGGGGGAGTGCCTGACCATAAGCGACACACTGTGGGGGCATGTGCATTCCCAGATTTGCTGCAGCCTGACTGGACCTGCACCAGGCAGGAGTTGCCTCTACAGAGGGACCCAGTGCAAAGGGTGGAGCAGGGTGATGAAACTCATTGCTGCTGCCCCTGCAGTCCCCACCACAGGTGCACCACCATGGTGAGGCTGTAGTGGAAGTGGGGCACAAGCCTGCCCCACAGCAGCAGCAGACAGGAGGCACCTCACCTTGGCAGCCATGTCAGCAAACCTGGTACAAGGTTTGGTGGCAGCAGCAATGAGTCTCCCTGCCGTATTCTGTCCTCCCATCCAAGTGGGCCATGGAGGCACCTCCTGCCTCGTGCACATCTAGCCAGGCTGCAGCCCCATGCCCTGCTGTGGACGCAGAAATCTGGGGGGCACATCCCCCCTATGCCCCCCCAACATATGACTCTGGTACCTAAGCCTTTCCCATGAGTGTATGCAGCAGCAGGGAGCTCCCTGCCACCCCCCCACCTTCCTCCAACAAGCTCCCCATGGCTCTGTGCTGATCTCCAGCCTGATTCCATGGCCATTCATTCCCATCCCTAGCCCCAGGCCCCACACACCGCCCTAGGTGGGCAGCACCTGCAACCCAAGCTGCCAACCCTGCCCCATTCCTTCCCTCACCATGGGGGCTCAGTGTGAGCCCCCGCCTCAAACTCCCCACAAGTTGTGCCTTCCCAACGCTGCCATGTGTAACATATGCCACTCCCCACACTACACATACCCGCAGGCAGCTGTGGGAGGTGCTCTCCACCACACTGTCTGGAGCTGTATTGCCAGCCACATTTATGTGTGCATGCACGCACATGCACATTGAGTCCCCTGCTTGTGATCACCCTCCTCCCGCTCCCCTCAGCCCTAAGCAGCCCCTTGAAACCTGGGACTCTGCCAGCCTGCAAGGGTACCCACAGTTTCCCACATTTTTCTCCTTTAAAAGAGTAAATCCATGTTTTTCCACGGCAAACAGAAAACCCAGACCCCTGATGAGAAGATATCAAACTAAAATTCTGTTAACTTATTTAGAGTTTTTCCTTCTCCAATGAATATACTCACTTTTAAATTTGTGATTGTCGTTTTATTTTTTTCCATTGAAATAATAAATTTAGCATCCAGGTCTTTTTCCCTGAAAAGAACAAAAACATGGCTTCAGTATACTGAAGAAAAATTCATATTGCTATCAAAATTATCAAAGTTTCTGTCTTTGTAAGAAACTTGTTATGGCTATTGTACATTCAAAATAACCAGTTTCTTCTATCATTGTAGCCAGTTGTTTTATATTTGATTTTTTTTTCCTTTACCCAGTCTTGCTATTAAAACCCTCCTTATCTGGCAATAAGAGTAAGGACTAAGGGGGGAAAAAGTCTTAGAAATTTTACCAAGAAGCTTGCTTTAAATAGCTTGTTTTCAATGGTAAATCTGATCCAAATACCAAGGGAGTTAGTAGAACACTCAAACAAGAATTTCAGCTTTCGAGTAAAAACACATGCACACCTCTCTCTGCTGGTATCAAGAACCAAAAATGTGTTACCTTCAAAAATACCCAACATTGCAGCAGAGTTGGACTGCTGTTACAGTCATGATGGTCCAGGGAGTACGAGAGGCAAGAAATCTTTGTGGTATCTTTCACTGTACCAACTGTAGAGTTGGGAGATTATCTGAACAAGCTTTTGGCATTAAGCGGGCCTTCCTCTGGTCAGAAGCCTGAGATCCGAGGAGGGCATCTGATATCTGAAAATTTATCCAATAGCTCTTCCAACTATACAGTTTGTTGAATAAAAGTTATCATACAAAGAATCCTTGCCTCTCGCTTTAAAAATAACATAGCTTTGAGGTTCCTCATTTTCAAATGCTTGTGATGGCAGTCCTGAAGACACTGACTACTGAAAACATGTTCCTTTCCCTTACAATCTCACTGCTACATTTACTGTAGCTGTTCCCCAAAAGCTGTTTGCTTTTGGAGCAGCAGAAGGCAGAAAGGAGATCCATGCATGAAGATGACAGAAAAGGTCTGGGACATATAAAAGGTTCGTGTTCCTGTATGCTGCAGTCGGCAACCCTAGGCATGTGTGCCACAGCATGTCACATGAAAGCATTTTGTCTGGCACAGGACAGATGGAAGGGAAGGGAAGGGGGCTGCACTCTCTCAACAAGGATCAGGCCCCTTGCAGCTCTTCCACTGTCCACCTAGCAGTGTGCGTGCACCCACAGACAGCGACAAGCCAAGCTGGGGCTTCACAAACCCCAGTTCAGCTGCTTGCAGCCTCCCCGCTGCCTGCTGCGAGCAGCCTGGGCTCTGTGGTGGGTAGCAGGGGCCTGCCCAGAGCCTGAGCTGGCTGTGGCAGTCAGCCAGGAAGCTGCAAGCAGCTACACCAGGGTCCACAGAGCCCTGGCCCAACTTGTTGCTGGCAGCAGGTGTGCACGCACCTGGGGTGGATGGTGGGAGAACTGCAAGGGGCCCGATCCTTGTTGTGGCAGTGCAACCCAGGCCCCTTCCCTGCCATCCACCTTGAGGACAGTGTGCGCTATACAGTTACCCTGTATGCCTCAGGGCAGACAGTGGGGAAGGGACCTATGCTATACTGCCACAAGGATTGGGCCCCTCGCAGCTCCCCTGCCATTTGCCCCCAGCACACCAACATCTTCCAAGTAGAGGTTGGTTGTGGGTGTTTTTGGTATTCTGCCCAAAAACATTGCTGACCCTTGCTGTATGCCCTTCCATAAATGCCTGAGGACAACACTGCAGAATTAAACCTGTCAACTACCCAGAATCAGACAATATTACATTTTCTTCACCTGCAGCTCTCTAACGCAGTGATGAACCAAGGGTTCTGACCCAAAACAGGATCAGTGCACTTAAAAGCTCCATAGAAATGAGACTTGCATAGAAAGTAGGGTCACAAGCCCAAGAGTAGGATTTCTACACTGAAAAACAGGAAAATACTAGTCTAATGGCCAAAGATTTGGAAGATTATTTGGGAAAATGTTTCCCAGGAACAATTGGCAAGTGTTGGCAACCACGTCATATCAGCCATTCCTGTTTGTCTTGAAGTATCAGCAAAGAGCCAGCTCAGTGCCTGGGAACAGCATGTACCAACCTGTTGCAGAGATTTAATATTATTATACCTAATTATAAAATATAAGTAATGCATATGTATATTTTTAACTTTATTTCTTTTAATAAAGCTGCCATAGGAAAAAAAGAGTATTGCACACAAAGCGATGTACATGAAAAACCAACTTGTGTATAAAATTAAAAAAAAAAACCCATTCAGACTCCTTCTAGCAGTAATTCTGAAGGAAAGGGGAACCATGTACCCCAAATTGAAAGTTTCCTAAGAAAAATATTATTGATGTAATTATAAAGATTTTTTTTTCATATTACCTCTATACTTCCAGACTGAAGCAAATATTTTGGTATTGATTATGGATGGGAGGCCAGGGAAGGGGATGGAAAAGGGGGAAAGAGGGAGGGAGAGAGAGGGAGATATTCAGTGTTCCTGTTATCAGGAGATAGTTTCTTATGCAACCATTCAAAAGTGCAAAGTGTCATGATCAGAGATGCACCGATAAAGATCTTGGGAGCCAATAACGATAGCCAATTTTAAAGGAGGCATATTGGCCAACACCAATCCAATTTCTGAAACAGCTGAGTGCAGCTGGTAAGTCCATTGTGGTAGAAGCGGAGTGGGGATCAAAGGGGAAAGGGGGCCAGATCAATGCCCCCCACAGTGAGGGAGGGAGCAGGGGCAGGCGCTGCCCAGCCACGGTGGGGTAGAGTGTGGGATGGAGCCAAAGCTCGTGGGAGGGGAGGGGGACTCCCTCTGCTGCTTGTACCCCGGGAGGGCATGGGGGGGGGGGCCGTGTGCCCCTGGATCTGCACAGGGCAGGGCGGGTGCCACCTGGCTCAGGCCCAGCTCAATGCCCCACCTCCACCCATGCACAGAAGGAGCCAGGGCTGCGCTGGGCGGGTGGCAGCGGTTCTGGGAGCGAGGATACAGTGAAATCTGGGGTGGCTGCAGCCCCCTCTGTAGCACCTCCTAACTCCTGACCTTTGCCACTGAAGGTCCCTCCCCTTGCCCCCCAGAAATACTCCTTTTGGGAGGGAGAATTGCCATCTTAGAACCAGAAAAAAAAAAATCATATACTAAAAGTCAAACACCTACTAAGACGCATTTTATTACAAAAAATATTTTTGTCATAATTTGTGTTTGCATAACGTATCTAGAGATTAAGTTCTTAGCCTTGTATATTGTGTGGGGGGTGTGGTTGTGGATGTATGGTGGGGCTGTGAGCGGGTGTGGTGTGAAGTGTTTGTGGAGTGTGAGGCATAGTGGCGGGGATGAGGAATGGTGAGGGGTATGGGGTCCCCTCCCACTCCTCCCCTGGTGCAGCAGCAGGCAGGAGGCACTCATGCCTGGCAAGGCATGTCTCTGACCAGCGCTACACATTGTGGCAAGGGGCACAGCCCCCACTGGGCAGTCTCTATCACTATGGCTTCCCGCTGTGCATGTGCAGCCCCCATGCTCATGCAGCACAGGACAGAGGTCTCACGCACTGGAGCCAGCTGCCTGAACTGCTCCCTGCCACACACGTGCAGCCCCCGCACTTGCACAGCATGGGAGGGAAGTTCTGTGTGCTGGAGCTGGCTGCCTTACTCACTCCCTGAACCAGCGTGGCAGGGAGTGGTGCAGGCAGCCGGCTCCAGTGCATGGGGCTTCCCTCCCATGCTGTGCGAGTGCGGGGGCTGCACTAGCAATAGAGACTGCCTGGAGGGGGCTGCACCCCTCACCACAACGTGCAGCGCTGGTTGGAGCTGCGCACTGTCAGGCACAAACGCCTGCACTGGCCATAAGCGCCCCGAGCACCTGTGCCTGCTGCTGCCACTGCCTGCAGGGCTGCACACCATGGGGGAAGCGTAGGAGTGATCCCCACATGCCCCCCACGCTGTCCACCCAAGCTCCACATTGCTGCTACCCCCATGGGCGCAGGCTCCATGCAGCCACCAGCCCCAGCCTCGCACTCTGTGCTCCAGCCCAGCTGCAGCCCCACTCCCACCACCCCTTACCTCCCTGCTGCCCACAGTGAGTGGGATAATAGGGAAGTCGAGCAGGTCCCAGGCAGATGCATCAGTGGCAGCACCAGCCCTGCCCAGAACCTGCATGCTTGCCAAGCCAGGTCCTTCCACCCACAGGGGTGGGAGCAAGGCATAATAAAGTATGTTGCAAGGGTATGTATACGTGGGCACCTCACTCCCACCCTTGTGGGCAGAAGGGCTGGGTGAGGCACAATCCATTGGTGGGCACCATGGGCCAGATGAAAATGCCCAGAAGGCTGGACTGTGGGCCTTATTTTGCCTGCTCCTGCTGCATCATCATATGAAACGATTCATTATAGAATTGTGGTTCAGAGCTTTTAAAATGGTAGCCAAAAGTATTTTTTTAATGTTTTTGTTTTGGGGGAGGTTTTTCTGTGGGCCCTAAAAAGGAACATAAGATTATAACTATTCATTGCTGAATATACGGCAAAATGTAATTAAAATACAAACAAAAATGAAAAATGATTTTTTTAAAATATTAATATTGGGAACACAAATAAACAGTTTTAGGTTTACAAAATACATTTTTTAACTGTACACGATCCCTTAAAAAGTAGTCACATTGTGCAGCCTTTATACAAAAGTATTTTTAAGGCTGAAAGGCTTTAAAAAAAAATGTTGAGCGCAAGTATCTTTTTAAATACAAAGACACTGAGATTCAAATGAAAAAGTTTCTACATTCTACTGTTCACTCACTTTTGGAGAGCACTCAGAAACTCCAAACAGTTTTGGAGACCTATCAGAAACTCATTCAATTAGCTACTTCTACTATGCTTATATACAGTATGAACAATAGCTCAGTTCACAATTGCACCAATGCTACCTAAAAATATTACTGCCTCAAACAAAATACAAGCTTCTATTGCTGCTGCCTTCATTAGAACATAAAATAAATAAATAAGGTGCCCAAACAAGTTCACAATTAACAGTTTGATAATTTACTGCATTTGGAAAAACTTGTTTCCTATGAAACCAGATCTATTGGCCAACTAACACTCTACCCAATCTTCAGCTTTTCCCTGCTGCTA